GAGCGTCGATCCACGTCAGAATGCGTGATCGAACTCCCACCGAGATGAAGGTGGACGGGGGGGTGGTGGCGTTGGAGGGCAGTCCCATGTGCAGCGCCTGGATCCTGGTCTTCACCAAGGGGGGGCGTTGACGAGCACTCGACAGGTGTGATTGGTGTTGGACGTCGTTGGGTTTTCAAAGTCACCACTAGGGGCAAACAGCTGAACGTCACAGTCTGTGGAGGTCAGAGAGGAGACGAGTGTTTATCATTTGTTAAGATCCATAAAGCCGGCTGATTGGTCGATGTTAGCGAAGAAGGAAAAAAACAACAACAAAGAGGTAAATGTTGGGTCGGAGCTAGCGGCGAGGTGGGAGAAAATAGCAAAAAAGGTAATAGGCTAATGTTTGGCTGAGACTAAAGTTCAACTTCTACGCTGATGATGAACCACGTGAAAATCTCTCCCACCGTTGATTCTACGACACGTTGGAGGTAAAGTTAAAGGGAGCCCACGTCACCGTCTCACCCCGGTGGTGGCTCCTCTTTGTGTTTTTCTCCGACTTGTAGGTGAACACAATCCCGTTCCCAGGAACCCGCAGGTCCAGTCGGACCAGCAGGATGTTGGTCCTAGTGGTCAGCTCGGTACCTGCGACCTGCACGCACTTCCTGATGAACGTCAGGCGGTCAAAAAATACCACATACTCCTCTGTGGAGACAATCGCACCGAGGTCACAAGGTCATGGGTTCACGTCCACATAGTAGTAACTGTGTAGTAACTGTGTAGTAACTGTACTCCAACTGTACTTTTACTGCAGTCCAATGAACTGGACTCGACGTGGATCACTTCTTCCAGCGGTCGGCCGATTGACAACATGCAGCGACCAACGGCATCTTTCAGGACCACGATGTTCCTCCTGCAGCAACTGTCCACACGGACCTGGACCGAGAACACACAAACCGTTCGGCCAATCAGCAGCTGTCTGGGCCCTGCAGTGAACCGGTCTGTCCAGTTCTGTCCCAGAGTGCAGTACTAGTGTGTACTAGTGTGTACTAGTGTGTACTTGCCTTTAGTGCCGGTGGCTGCAGTAGTGGACGTTGTTGGACTGGGGTCGATGTCCATCCTGAACCGAGGTGAGTCACTGCTGCTCAGGGTGGGAGACAGAAGGACTCCCCCTTCACCCAGGGTGGTGGTGGTGGTGGGGGTGGTTGGCCCCTCCTCTCTGCAGCTTCCCCTGTAACAGCCTTGGATGATGATTGGTTTGGGCGCGTGCATGCAGAGCAGTGGGCTGACGGGCTCAAGCTGAGAGGGGCCCAGACAGGATACGGCCCTGGACTGGATCCCATATCCACAGTCCACCGAACACTGGAGACGAGATCTGGTTGACCAGTCAGCAGAACCAGGAAGGTCGCCCCCCCTGACCCTGCCGGGTCCACTCCCCCCAGTACCCGTACCTGGCTCCAGGGCTTCACTTCCCACCCGAAGGTGCAGATTCGCATCCCGCAGGGCAGTTCCCCTCCGACACCACAGTGTCCCGACCGCTGACCGACTGGACGCAGGACACGGTCCTCTGGGCCACGCCCAGGTCACAGGACACGGAGCAGGGGGACGTCCCCAACACTGTCCACCTGGACAACGGACACTGGTGAGGCCAGGCTGTGTCTGTCTGTGTCTGTCTGTGTGTGTGTGGTTACCCTGCTGGACAGCTGTGTGTACTACACGTCACCACAGCTGCGGGTTTCTCCGACTCTCCACACTCTGAATCCACCACAACCATCTCCCGAACGCAGTACAGCACCCTGTTGGCCACGCCCCCTCCGCACGTTTCACTGCAGGCTCCCTCCTTGGATCGCCACCTGGTGGTCAAAACATGGGACCGCTAAGTTTTGCTGAAGTGAACAGAAGCCGTGGTCTGAGGTGCGTTTCCTGTCTCACGTGGCCGGGCAGGACGCCGCGCCGCAGCTCTCAGACTGAGGAGGAGGTCTGGAGGACGGGTCGCAGAAGAGGTCTGGAACCCCCAACCTGGTCTGATGGTCCACACAGGAAAACCACACCTGCAGCGTTCCTGATGAGCAGGTGTCGAGTCAGGAAGTTTATATGCCACCCACAGGTAGGGGGCGGTACTTTGAGTAGATTTGTTTGGACCTGTTGTCGTAGGTTCAAATCTCACCTCCGCCGCAGGTTTTGGAACACTGGCTGACGACAGGACTCCAAACATACACAGGGGTGTCTGTGGACTGGGACAGACCGGACTTGGGCACAGGCTGGTCCTGGTGAGAAACAGGTTAAACAAATGTCGAGGTCAAAGGTCAGGTTGTCTGGATACAGGAAACCTGAAGATATTTCAAATGATTTTTTTTTTTTTACCGCTCCTTCAGATTCCCACCCCATGGGACAGTCGTCGACCCCACAGGGTACAGAGTCAGGTGGTCTACGAAGCGGCAGACACAAGCCGTGGTCGACCTCCACGTCCTGACCTGCCTTCGTCTGGACACACCTAACCACACGTCTGGCCTGTCCCGGCCCACAGACTGCAGAACAGTTCGCAGACTCCGACTCGCTCCACCTGTGAGGACGTGCACCTGAGGTTGAAAACAACAGAAACGTTGAAATCTTCCCCCCGCCGTAGACGTCGTACCTGGCAGGACAGACCTCCAGGTTACACGTCTCTGCTGCCGCTGGAGCACAGTCCGTGGAGCACTGAGAGTCGGGGACCTGAACCTCCTCAGGTCTACGATTCTGAACGCAGCTCACTGGACACACTCTCTGTCCTCAGCCACAGGAGGCGCTGCAGGGTCCAAACCTGCCTGCCTCCCACCTGGGCACAGAACGAAACTAAGTATTTTCTGCTCTTATGTGAGAGGCAGAACAATTACATACACTTCCACTAGGTGGCAGCAGACAGTTGGTGTCTTCCTACGGATTAGACCGCGACCCACCTGGGTGGACAGGCCGGGAGCTGGCAGCTGGTCTGAGGGGGACGTTCTGGTTCAGGAGACTCACACCTGGTGTTTTCACCTGTACACACGTACGTGTACTTCTGTATACCTGTGAGTACATGTCAAAAATATTGGAAACATCAGAAGCTGAAGTCTGGGAGTGTACGCTCTGT